ATAGCTCCGCTGTCAGTCTTCAACTTAGTCAGTTGGCTTTGTCCGATAGACAGATCTCTTGCGAAGACTTTTGTGGCTAGGTTCCGCTCTATAGCTCCCTCAATACGGGCTGTATTGAAGTTGCGTAAGTCTCGCCCCATGTATTTGGAGATCTGCCTATTAAGCCGCCTGTAGTCTGACTGCAGCCGCATCTCACGTCTTTTTCCCAAGAGGTTAAGAGTGTGATCGGAGAGTTTTTGCGTTCTATTTGTCCGGCGGGCCTTATAAAATTTAAGGCCCACGGCATGGACAGTTTCCACGAGCTTAGCGTTAATATCGTCCACCGTGCTGCAATTTTCTAGGCATTGGAAGCGATTATGTAGCTCGAGCTGAAAGCTTTCGGAGTTCTGGATATGGGCACGAGAAGGTCGGAGTGTGGACTTCATTAGACGAGATCTTTCCAGCCTGATGTTAATATTCAATGTGCCTCTCACCAATCGGTGATCACTGCCGGTCTTCACCCTTGTGATCACAGAGACATCATTGAATATTTGCCGTTTGTTTGTCATAATGAAGTCTATCTCGTTTTTTACAGAACCATCGGGGCTAGTCCAGGTCCACTTTCTGTGGGGCTGCTTTTTGAAGAAGGAGTTCATCATAAAGAGTCCCTCCTTCTCCATAAAGTCAGCCAGCTGCTGCCCCCTTGGGTTCCGTTGCCCTATTCCAAAACTACCTACTCTCAGCTCATCGTCTTTCCTTTTGCCTAGTTTTGCGTTGAAGTCTCCCATTAACACCATGTACTGAGTTTTGGAGGAATGTATGGCTCGTGATATATCCTCATACATTGCCTCCACCTCATCATCGGGATGTGTGGACGTTGGTGCGTAAACCTGTATGACCTTCAGCGAATACCGTTTGGATATTCTGAGTATAAGGTACGCAACCCTCGACGACACACCCTCAATTTTAACAACGTTGTTAATGAGAGACTTGTGGACGATAAATCCGACACCTCCTTGGGACAGTTGGGTTGCCGGATTATTATCGTGTCCTCCCCCTGTCTTCGGACTTCAGATAATCCTATTATATCCCAGCGCAGCCTGTTCACCTCTTCTTCCAGCTCTGTAATCTTCTCGTCAGTCCTCAATGTTCTTGCGTTGTATTTTGCCAGGTCCAGTCGCCGTCGTTGGTAGCCGAATCCTAGCCGGAGATTCTTAGCACCCCCTGCCCTGCCGTTACCATAACCGCTACCGTAGCCAGGAATAGCAGGGCCGCCGGGGACTGGGGGCCGCACATTTTGGACTTCTATCATGGGGGGGTTGAGGGTTGTGCCATAGTTGCCACGCCTGGCAAGCGGGTTGGCAACCGCAGTTCCTCCAGACTCCTCGCACCTATAACGCTGCTGCCCGTTATTGGCCTGGTTATTTAGGGTCTGGAGAGTCGAGATGGTTATCCCGCCATCTATCGGTGGCCACCAGATGTTTGTGGCTTGTCCCTTAGTCGCCTCTTACGACACCCACGAGATGAGATGGGGTGGCTTATTCTTACGCCGGCACCACACGGCAAACTTTACATCACAACAATATTTTTAGGAACAGTACATGAAACTGAGGTCTTTTTACCAAGCATACGATAAAATAGGAACGGTTAAAGGAAATTACATAAGCGAGAAAGGAAAAAACATAAGCGAGAGCGCCTGGCCGTGCTGATACCGTTCATTCGCCGTGAAATCACGATCATACTTTTGCTTTGAAGCTTTACGAGGCACTTAGCTGATTACAAATATGATGATAATATTCTTTAAAAACTCCATCCAAATTAAGTTAAATATACGTAAGTCGTCCATTAATGCTTACTACCGGGATTTTCTTTAATTAAATGTAATCATTATGAATCCATATTGAGGTGAATTGTAATACTATCAATGTACTAGTTCTTTAATGGTAGTTTGTTGTATATTACATACCCACTACTAAGTCACCGCTTTTTTTTAATTTTTAAAATTTTTACATTGATTATCCACAGCATACTGCCTCGTAACCCCGCCTTCCTTCCCAAGGGTGGAGTTAACAGTTATCCGTCCTATAGCTGGCAAGAACCACTACGGGTACGCGACCCCGACTGTTCTAACTACTACTGGCACATTCAGTTTTTGCTAAAAGTTTTTCCTTTGGTAATTTTAGTAATATTTATATATAATCGAGTATTAGAAAAGGATAGAGGATAGAGGGCCTTCAGACCACTCATTATAGCAGTTATCATTACTGGTCAGAACTCCGCTGACCGCTTGACAGTTACTTTTAGTTGATAGTTTCTTAAAAGGTTCAACTAATGAGGTTAAGGTCATCTTGACATAGGTACATAATTACGTAGTAAATTCTGTACTTTTATAATTTAATTTAAAATAAAGTTAAAGTCACAACGTTGTATTGTCTATTGTCACGGCCTAACAGAACTTTACCACGAACCAGTTTGACATTTGATGGGTTCATAATTTTACCATAAGAGATACAGCGAATATTGACTAAAACATATCCGTTTCGAATATATTAAACAAAATGATGGTACTCACGTCTTCCAATCACATGCAGGTAGACAGAGATGTTTAATCTTTCACAAATCCGATTTAGTCCCAAAATGAGTGGGAGTGAAATAACTGATAATTAACTAACATATTAGTCACTCAGTGATGATTATGTGTTGTTAATAACATTACAAATAAATGAATTTAATTAAAGCTTTTTTAATAATGTATTATACTATTTTCTAGATGAGCTAACGATATTTTTGTAATAATATAAAGGAATTATGGTTTTTAACTAAATAATGGCGTTTAATTTAATGAAATATAGCCTAACGTTCAATAAATCATTAAAAAAAATTTGAATCAATTCAATAGTTACAGAAATACGTCATCACTCACAAGTAGACCAAAAGAAAACACTTTGGGTTTGGTTTTCCCTCTCATATTAGCATAGATATACCATCGTCAATATTTCCAAATCACGGCTTTGGAAGGAAAACACAACGAGGTATCAAAACAAAGCGATTCACAGCATTAGGTCGACAACTCGAGGTATTCGGACTGGCCTCGTGGCCGAATCGCGCCAAAGGAGCTGAATATTCCTTTATACGATCGTTTATTGGCGCCGCCGCTCCTGAATTATTTATCCACAGTCGCCGGCTAGGGTCAGTATCAATCAGGCCGGAATAATTTGGTCATGCGCGCGAAAAATCCATTCATCGCTCCATTGTTCGTTCTTTTGCTTCCTGTGGCCCATTAGCAACGCGCTTCGTGAAATTTTCCTAACATTTTACGGTGATACAGTATAATAACAAGTGTTGCTACAAATTTTGGAGTAAACTACTGCCTACTGTTTTCCTTTGCCATAATTCGGAGTTTTGAAGACCTGCTCTTCTTTCTTTCGTTTGTTTAGCCAAATTTAAGTAGTACTTCTTATGCTTAACCGCCCTTATACAAATTTATTGGTATTTAGAAAATATTGCTGTATACAGTTTTATACGAGTACTTTGACTTTACTTTACTGATTCCTTAACAAATAAACTAACTTAATAACTGATATTTCACAATCACAATTATACAACGTATGTTACAAAACCTGTAGAAAGCGATATTTCTTCACTCAATATTTACTTCGCCGCGAAGATTTTTAAAGCGGTTTTCATCAGAATTGAAAATTATGATATGAATTTCTTTGAATGTCATTCATTAAATTCACGGAAGTTACGTATTAACGTCACCACAGCAGAATAAGTTGCGCTTATGCGTCTCTCGCTGTCCATCATAGTGAGAAAGAGAAATGGAGAAGAGTCGAGAAATCGTGCCCCATGATACCCCTCAGCTCTCGACGGTACTGTTTAAAATCAGAACCTAAATTAACCTAAGCTAACCTAACCTAAACTGCCAAGTCTGCAGCTGTGATGGCGTTAATACGTAACGACCAAATTCACTTACGAGAACTTATTTCCTGCTTCTTAAAAATTGCCTCAAGGTCGGGGCTTAATGGAGGTGATAGTTAAAACACTTCTAGTTACCGGAGCGTGGGATTGCGATAAGACGGACTCACTCAGTTTTCATCGAACGCTAATCTGTAACAACTACGAGTTACAGGTAAATTTTGTTTGTGTGATTGAGCATATACTACAAAAGTTACTGCACTTTCGTTGAAAATCAAATCTCAATACTTACTTTAGATTATAATGTAAGAAAAATCTGGAACAGTGAATATAACTAACGATTGCCATGTTTCAAGGTAAATATGTTATTAAAATTGACAAAACTTGATGATTTCAACATTAAACGAATTTTTAACATTAACAACATTAACAACCTAATACGAAAATGTGAAATTGACGTAGACAAATATCTTACCCATAAGAAGTTGACCAAAACGTCAATATAAACAAATTCAAGTTGAATAAACATATTTTTAGTTCTAGATAATCCAGTGAAAAAATACTTGTAAGTGATTAGCAAGTGTGGAATCGTACATTTGTTTCGTTTATGTGTACTAATATTTAATTGTTATAGTTTTTATACTCGTTTCACAACACTACTCCGATTTTCAGACGGAAAATTAGAGTAATGGCGCATTCAAGTAGATGTGCCTCACGAGTTACATACATTTAAAGCTAATAGATTATGATAGGATAAGCACACAACAGCAGCTAAATGAAACATTCACGAAGAATAAACAATATTGACGTTGGTCCAACTTCAAACATGAAACGAGATTCACTTCAAATTGGATTACGTTCAGTTGATTCCATTTTTCTAAACCCTAACAAAGAGTTAAAATATTGAATATAAGTTTTTAAGTAAAGAAAATGGTGATAGTGTAACAAGCGTAGTTTTGTTTATTTTTTATTTATTTGAAGATCTAGAAATTTCCGGCCTGTTTTTCTTTTGTCTGTGTTTTGTTTAATTCGTCGCCTATCCGTTTTGATTGTATGGGACTTTCTAAACTATGGATTCTCTTTCCATGCTTTCTCCTTCAAAAATGGTAGGTAGAAGAGGTTGTATAAGGAAAAAATAGAGGAAACCTATTTAATCAATAGAAACCGGCTTTACTCTGATGCTATTTCGCACTGACTAATATTTTTTTCTTATTCCTTTTATATTACATATGCTTCGGAACTTAAATACGCTTAATTATCAGCTAAGTTTGCTTTTATTATTTTCACTTATATTTAATATTATAAAATAGCTTTTAATAATAATGTATGTTTATCTATTACAAACTCAATATGATAGTTTTATTTAAAACGACAAATTTTATAACACCGCTACCTTAGAGCTGGAGTGATTAAATTTTTTTATTGAAAGCGAAAATCAAAAAAAATATTTACTTTTTACGTAATGTTAATAAAGTTAAGTATCTAGATATAACACGTTAGGACATAGTTAAGTAGAGCACTTTATTTTATATTTTCAGTATGCGACTCATGGTAAATACAATATTTATATCTAATTATCCGTTGCCTATTAATTAAAGTCGCTAAACCATGCATAATACCATGTGTCGTACTGTTAAACAATAAATGCCATTATTATAAAAAAAATAGAATGATTAGAAATTATAGATACGAGTAGCCTACTTTTAGAGTATAGAAGTGTAAAGGGGTTAGAACCTGATTTAAGTTAGAAGACGATTAGCGCCTAATTGACATAAAACAAAAATAGTTTGTTAATTAATGACATTTATACAGGATTATCGCAGGCAATGAAATAGAATTTTATACGAACAAGTTAAAAATAACTATTTTTTTAAGCCTGCGTCAATCCTTATGCTGTCCTAACACCGACATTAATTATATCTATCTTATTTTTAATTCGCGGCAAAGTTATAACAAATCCAAGATCTGATTTGCTACATGACTGCTAGTTATAGATAACATGACAAATGGGTTTAGATCGTTGAAACCAAACTTTGCAATAATAAAGTAGTTTTAAAGGTACATGATTATTTTCAACCTAAACTTTTTAATCAAACTTAGCGACGTTATACTAATATTAGATTTCTAAATTTTTCTATAAGAAGCAAACCGTTTAGTTTAAAAAACATCATATTTTGGATTTGTCCTTATGTATATATTTAAAATCATGATTTTATCTATAATTTAATCATTTGTATTCACCATATTTAACAAAATCACAGAACTATATCTAGCTTTCATATTTAGAAAACGTTATTGTGCACAAATCGTTTGAAATTTTCAATACCAATTGGTCTTTATAAACGCCGTATATCAACATGTAATAAAACGCTCTTGTTTCTTAGAATTTTTTTTTACAATTTAATTAATATAGAAATAAATAAAAATGAATACGGACAGTATTGGCATTACGTTCGTTCATTTTCAAATTTCGAATCGTACAATGATTGGTGCACAATAGCATTAGTGCGTTAACCCAGCAGTCCATTGTGACACCACTTTAAAGTGCTCCCACTCTGGACTGACAGATGGCGTTCCTGCAGAACCGCTCCATATCGCTGGTGGACATGTACATCGACAACTCGGAGCCGTCGGAGAACGTCGGGCAGATACATTTCTCGCTCGAGTACGACTTCCAGAACACAACCCTGATATTGAAAATCATACAGGTAATGTCAATTTATAGTAAAATTTCCACAGCTTTAGAGAACACCGACCGTAGTCAAGATGTCGTCGGGTTCTTTCTTCATATTAATTTTCTTCGATATGCCTTCAATAACTGTTTTGATCCTTTGTTCTGTCAACAAAAATGACATCGAATTTAGCAACTGAATCTTTTTTTTTTTGTTTAATTTTAAATACCTTGTGCAGACATACGATTCGAACCATGTTATTCTAGTAAATTGTTATTATCAAGATGGTACATATTACATATTAAAATGTAATAATACATGTTACACGATATCAATATAAAAGTCTGTATTCTTTTTATTTAAAATTTAAATTACATCTATTTGATTACCGCTACAACCGGCACAAACCTTTAATATCCTAAGTTTCACGTGTATTAATTAATCATAGTTATTATAATCATTTTATATGAATTATTTTTTGCCATGAAAAATGCCACGCATTAACATTTTGAAAATCTAGTTTCAAAGCCAGTAGTAGCCAGTTCACCTAACAAATGGACTAGTCTAACATCTTGGGTACAAATTATGCCTAACCTCTGTTTATTACTTCATATGTGATTTCTATTTTTTACAACAACCTCTTATTTAACTAGGCGTAAACACCAGTATAAATATTAAAGTATAATCATTAAATAAATAAATAAACTAGTTCTTATCGTACATACTCTAAGAGTGATTGTTGGCAACACTCAAGGAAGTCATTCCTTGAGGTTGTTGGCAATACTAAAAGAAGTGTCATTCTATGGGGTATAAATGAAGCTGCAAGAAGTATTTCGTGGTCTTGGTCTTTCTCTGGCTGTCATCAAGAAGTAGTGTTTATTAGTGATATCAAAGGGATAAAATAAGTAATTACACCAGTGTTATTGTTGTGCAAAGTAAAACTACGGTGATTTGGTAAAAGTATTTATATTTCTACCTTCTTAGCTCGATATAACAAAGTATAGCTAACATGATTACGTAACATCTGCTAATCGGCCATATAATCAAAATCTAACTTTTTTTATTGCATATTTTGAACTCTCGAAACTGATTAACTATTGGCTATATTATCGGTTAAACTATTTAGCATCCTACTTATCATATGTCCTGATGTACTCTTAATAAAGTCTGCTGTCACTTTAAGTTACCTATGATTTATAAAACAAAAAGTTACCAACTTTAGAAGAAACGAATGTAAAATATTCGATGACAAATCACCCATTTGTTTACCTACGACAATGGAATAATGTAGGAAATCATTTATTAAAAAATAAGCCTAACTTTTAAAGTATATTTTTGGATATAGCGTGCAGAAACAGTCTTGCGTACACAGTAGAACGCAGTAATTATCTATGTGGAGATTGGAATTCCACTCCTGATTACTACTATGGTTCACCGGACTGCAACAGCAATATTACAATGTAAGTCATATCACCGGTCAACGGCCAATTTCAGAAGACAAAAACGAAACAAATTGAGGAATAAGTAATATTAAAGCCCACTGTAAAAACTTCTTACGCAATTGTTGATGTGTTTGAATAAAAACGGTACAACGAGTATATGTTATTTATTTATTTACTTTATTAGGGAATTTCACAGCATACAACAACTGTTTAATCTATGTTTAATGCATATGAGGCGTGTTCAGTAGTGCTTCAGAAACATTTTTAAGAAATAGATTTCGTTTAAGATTGAATATGTCAATCTTTCCAAACTTCCTCGTATAATTATAGATAATTATGCTATATTGGACTGATTTCTGGGCATGTTTTGTTTTTGGAAGAGAGACATCAGATATTTGTTTCGTAGACGGCGTGTTTGGATACGAAGATGCAATTTTTTTAGCAAGGCAGGACAGTCTAAGTGGTCGTGTGATACATTACATGTATAAAAGCCACATATCGGAAATAATTCTACTAATTAAGATATTATAATCACTCGTGGATTTTTTTAAACCTTGTTTCCGATGCCCACTTTTTTTTAGTATATATTCAGAACATAATTTTTTTTTTCATTTTCCGGTTACTAAAAGTATAACGAGATAAGCATTTTAACGAATTTTAACGAGTTCAATTTTAACTTTAGCCAACTTTTCGCCCTTGTCAACGTCACCAATGTTAATATGGCCGCTGCATACGAATCGAGAGCTAACTTAAAATTAAATGAGATTAAATCCTTGAAACTAAGTTCATTCAATACTTTAACGAATAACTAAGAACAGAACTAAACTACTACACATTTTATTCACATTTACAAAAGCGGATATTACATACATATCGTTCAGTAATATTAACACCTACTCCTGTTGACTACAAGAAAAATATTGTGAATGACGTTATTCTACATTATTTGCAATTCTCAATTGGCACATATCCTTTATGATCAGCTTTTTTATTTGTACAGTATACATAAATATAGCTAGAGTGTTGTTAATTATATAGTTACAGTATACGTGTAGTATATACTATTTTAGAAGAAGTACATACATAATGTTAATTGAGCATTCCATAATTCTAAAAAAGTATTAATCTTTTATTTTGACAAAAAATAAACAGAATATCAAACATTGTTTATCCCGTTACGAGTGGTCACCCTGTTCATAAGTGGTTTAGTAATTATGCGTTCAGCGAACAGTTTTAGTGCTCGTGTGTATGTTGTTGTATTGAAACAGTAAGGCAGGAATTTCTAATAGGGTGTCCATAATGTTTGAAAAAATTAAAAATAATCTTTGAAAAATGAGATCACGAGTACGTACCAGATTCAGATTTAGAATTAAATTCTGCATATACTCTGTTAATATGTCCGTCGTCTATAAAATCACTCTGTATATAGTTACAGAGTGGTAGAACCGAATCAAATTCCCTTGCATGCGTTCGTGAAATGAGTGCTAAACTTCAGGGCAAGGAGCTACCTGCTAAGGACTTGAGCGGCACCTCAGACCCCTACGTTCGCGTCACCCTGCTCCCTGACAAGAAGCACCGCTTGGAGACCAAGATCAAGAGGCGCACTCTGAACCCGCGTTGGAACGAGACTTTCTACTTCGAAGGCTTCCCGATACAGAAGCTTCAGAGCCGGGTATGGGCAAAATCGATATTTTCACAGTTGACCAGTGCGTACAAAGGTATTATTTGATCATTTCTTCATTCATCAAGGCCGAAATTTAAAAAGGACAAGTTTTAAAATTTAATAGTGATTCGGCGGCCTTAGGACATAAGAATTTCATACGTGCCTGTGACTATTAAAAAGGCTAGTAAAACATAGTTTTCCATTGAAAGCATTTTTAGGGTCAAAAACATTTTGAGGGAAATGTTTCAATGAAATGAACCTTCTTCTGTGACGAGTTTCTGTATGTACAAGAATTGTACAATTACAGAAATTTTGACCTGTGCTAAATTTATCATTAAGCGATTTTGATTTCCATGTACAATAGAGTTATGTACATGGTACCCATGTACTTTTAATATACGTATGATGTACTAGTTTACATCGTACGTATATTAAATATTAAAATTCAACAAAAGAACATTGATATAGCACTAAAATAGAGCTACAGCGAATTTTAATAAAAAAAAAATGTTTTATACGAAAAGTTAGTACTTTTAGTATTTTGTCTTGTTACGTAGACTTTCTATTTTCAGGTTCTGCATCTCCACGTATTCGATTACGACCGCTTCTCTCGAGATGATTCAATTGGAGAAGTATTCTTGCCGCTATGCCAGGTACATTTAAGTCAATCTTATTAGTGGAACGGTAACGATACGTTTTAGTTGAAATCAGAGTTAGTTTGACTAAACTGGTTGGCTTTGAAGTGGTGACACGTTTTATATCAAATCATGTCCAACACTACTTTCTCTTGGCCATATCTCGTCTAGGTGGGATCGGTACAACATGTCAGTAATGTTCTAAATGGTATTGGTTAGGCCACCTACGTTTCTTCAACCTCTTTGGGAATAAACATCAAGATCCAGATAATTAGAACTATTTAAGAAAAAATATTTGAAGCTTGTTTCCCAAAAATACACTGGTTCTATGCAGTTTAATGGTATCCGTTAAAAAAGGGGAAAATTCTTGATGACAGACAAACTTTATTGCGGGACCTATTTTTTTGTTGATTGAAAGATAGAAATAACTATCCCGTTATTACAACTGATACTTACTACACCTTAAAATAAACCCTAGGAAATCCCGTAGACAAAAGGAAAAATAATACCCTGAAATTTAAAGATTCGCCCCACAATTACATTGCATTTTGCTAGTTACTATTACATGTCGCCATTTCATTTTACATTCTATTAATTTAGAAATCTTTACAATTTTTTTACCGCTTGGGGAGTCGATTTTGTAATTCCTTCTCATTGCATATTACAGCTGTATTTTAATTGAGGACTATAATATTTATTCTAGGACTATATTATATATATATTTTTTATTGTGTTTATCTACTTTTAAGTACTACAAAATAAACTGGATGCATCGTTAAATTTTGTTTATGAAATAATTTCACAAAACCTAATCGTGTTTAACTTTTATGCACGACAGGTGGATCTGAGCGAAAAACCATCGTTCTGGAAAGCTCTGAAACCACCAGCCAAGGATAAATGTGGAGAACTACTCACCTCCCTCTGCTACCACCCTAGCAACAGCGTGCTTACATTGACACTCCTGAAAGCACGCAACTTGAAGGCCAAAGACATCAACGGGAAATCAGGTGAGCAGAATCGTTACAAAATGTTAAGATAAAAACGAATAAGTCATAATCCCTTGATCTTACCAAATTGTTCTTTAAAAGACTTGGACTGATTCGAAGTCTATAGTGATAAACGCAGCCAATTACCAAATGAATCAAAAGGTGACAGTCACAGCCATGTGGCATCGTCCTAGCCGAGGAAGGCGGCTAAAATATATCGAACTGTAGTCTTATTTTAACATCTTTATTTTACCCTTTCTTAAACCTTTACCGACTCAAAAACCATAGAAAATTTAGCGTAAGGCTGAATTTAAATTCCCTGATAACTTGGAACTTTTCTGGTTACTTGTGTTGATTCTACTGGTCACAGACGGAAGATTATGGAGTGTTGTAGCTTCACGATCTTCCGTAATTTGCAACCGCAATTATAATAATGAATAACTTTAAGGTTTTTTCACAACAGATCAATTATTACCGTAAGAACTTACGAATACTGGAAAGAATTTCAAAATATGCAAGAATGCAGCTTGTTAAATCGTTATCGAAATCTGTTCGATTGTTTTTTAACCTTTTTACCGTTGCGTACTCTTATTTTGTACTTTTACAAATGTGAAGGTTCCTTAGATACCATGTAATTTAGTTTGCAATACTCATCAGCATAATAATTTGTGGACTTTGGGTTGAAAATATTATTTTTGATTCTTGACTGAAAATAAAAAATTCGGCAGTTTTACAGGTAATAAAAATGGAAATTATTGGGCATGAAAAAGATATGCTAATCCTCCTTTCCGTTTTTCTCTATATAACTTTGTAATAAAATGTACAAATATTCTTACTCTTTTAGTATGATTTGCGCTGAATAGCCGTCTCTACATATAAATTGAGATACCATTTTAAAATAGGCACCGGGAACTAATTGGATCTCGGTTCGCGGAAACCGGACTATTTGAGTTATTGCCCTGCCTCTTAAGGGCTAGCCCTTGAAGCAGAAATAAAAATGTAAAGGGTTTTATTACCTTGCTATAGACTGACTTATTTTACTGCTCTAAATAAATTTTATTTCTTCGCAAATTTTAATACACCTAATGAATTTAATAGGACAATTAAAAGAAATATTCCTTAGGATGTCTGAAAAGTTTTAAATAATATTTACAATGGACCTTTTGGCAACGTTTTATGAAACCCCTAGAAAGAAAATTAATTGCGAAATCCTTAATTAACAAAATGTTGCGCTAACATCTATCTTGGGAATCGGAAGCTAATAAATTAAACTCGATGCCTTTTTAGGGGATTTTGTAAATTGCTATTATATTTATAAATTTAATGTTTATCGAAACAAGGAGATAGATATTATTTAATAGAAAATGTAGCTGAAATTAGTTTCTGTGTTAACTTTATCTGTTATTTGTCTTTAACAATGCTATTTAGTTTTGAATTTAAATTCATCACGACAAAACTCGTAAAAATAATGATTTTTAAATGTTTTAGTGTTTACATAAATATTGCATATAAAATAAACTACTATTTTGCCAGTATATTACATAATAATGACTACATTTACAAAGTTTGCTGTATTTAGCTATTCAGTATTTATGTTTAATAGATTATGATGTTGGAAACTTTACCGTACGCCTTCGCGAAACCAGAGTAGGCCATATAATGTCTCTATAATAACTTGTAACTATCCTTCCATTCTCAGATCCATACGTAAAGGTCTGGCTGCAGTTTGGCGACAAGCGCATTGAGAAGCGCAAGACGGCGATCTTCAAGTGCACCCTGAACCCCGTCTTCAACGACTCCTTCTCCTTCAATGTGCCATGGGAGAAGATAAGGGAGTGCTCTCTCGACGTCCAGGTCATGGATTTCGACAATATCGGTCGCAATGAGCTCATCGGCAGAATACTCTTGGCCGGTGCGTATTGTTTTAAAACTCTACTCTTTTTCTCATTGACTCTCTTTCCTTCCCTTCCTCTATCACTCTGTCTTTATCTTTGTCTAATACTAGTTTCTTCAGTGACTTAGCGCTAATCAGGCCATTAGAGTTCAATTTAAAATAGTTCAAAACAACTTATAAAACTTTTATTAATGCCGTTTCCCTGCTATCAAATGTTTATATTTGTAGTCTTTGTACTTAATATTTAAAGGATTCCTTTTCAATTAGACCACCAGTCGTCTGTCATCAATTTAGAATGAATTTTAAATGAATGAATTGTCCAAATAAATCTGTTTTATTTCAAACTAATGATTATTTCAAATATTAACGTTTAATAATCTTAATTCCAGGTAAAAATGGGTCTGGAGCAACTGAAACCAAGCACTGGCAGGACATGATCACTAAGCCACGGCAGACCATCGTACAGTGGCACCGTCTGAAACCGGAGTAAACGCAACGTTGCACGTGATAAATTTTTTTACCAGAGAAAGTTAATACAAAACGTCATAAGACTGAACGGTTAAAAAAAAGTCAAAAACGCCTCAGAAAAAAAAACTTCTTCAGTCACTTCGTGATTTCTAATGCTGTGCTCGATCTCTTCTATATATCGAATACTTTCTTCTTTATAACATTTGAATTCATTTACACCGTTACAATTTCGGACAAACTTGAATTCTGTAACTTCATGGTCCATTTGTGTGTCCAGTGTTCGCATTTTAAAGAAAAATGTGCTTCATTATAGCAAGTTTGATTCTTATTAAAATTATTTAACGTAATTTATATTTAAAATATAAAGAACGAAAAGATTTTAGTTTCTGGTGCAAATTTTCGAAAATAATATTTAAGATTTATTAATTTTCAATGAATGTTAACGTGGTATTTCAATTTTTTTTTTCTTTTAAAGCAAAGACTACATTATTTAACCATGAGATCGAAGCATTTTGATAAAATCCGTTTTCGACCCAACATTGCACAAGAAATAAAATTTAAGCGACATTCTAACACAACATGATACCTAAACGTTTTAGAGTTGTTTTTAATGGAAATGTTGAAAACACGGTCATATTACGAATTGGCGTTCTTACTTGCTCGTAACTTTGGCCCTTGCTAATGGAATACTACTAACTATCTAAGTTTCTCTTTAATGTTTCACAAGAAATTATTCAAAATTTTTCTTTAATACAAAATTTTCTATTTTCAATCATTTCGATTTCAACTCGAATTTTGATAGATGTGTGTGACTAATACAATATCTTTATTACATATTTCGATGCCTCCTAAATTTTAATACCCTTTTCAATTATTCTTGGATGTCCTAAAAATTTTTTCTCTAAAAATGTATAAACTATTGACGTTTATTGAAAAGTTGAAAGATCAATGTTAAGCATATTATTAAATTGTTAGAAAAAGTTAATTAGAATACGATTGTTAAATTGTAGTAAAATTACGCAAAAATAAGTCGAGTTCATATCGCACAAAGAGCGTAGATTTACGTTTTAATAATTATAAAACTATTTTTGTTTAACACGATAAAAATTTTTAACTGTAAAACTTCTTATACTTTATCTGTTACTTTCATAAGGGAAAAAAGTAATGCTCAAAAAATAGTTTTGCTGGAAAATTTGAAATATCTGAATTTAACTGAACTGGTGTTAATACCATTTTGAATAACGTGGGCTTAAAATGGCGTGGTTCTTTGGTTTAAAAATATTTATTGATAATTGAACATTCTAAATTAAATGTAATGTTTTTTAATGTAGGCGGTGAAGCAAGTAAGTCGTTGGTCAATTTTAGAGAGGAGGAAAGTGGTGACATATGAAAGGGATAGAATCGATGGCGAATTTGACGAGAGGAAGAAACTTAATGGTCTTATTTCGTTTAGGGTCACATAATCTATAAAGTATTTATTAATATTTACCAAAGTATTTACGGTCGCATTAAATATTAGTGTTAATCGATTGCTTGTTGTTACATGTTATTAAGCTTACAACTCCGTGAAATCATAAGTTTCGATGTTGACATTAACGACTATTTGATTCATTTAGATTAAAAGATATACGTTTATAAAGGTTTTATAGATACCAGTAGATTATTTATAGATATACGTACCTACATACCTAGTAGCTCGTTGTTGTAGCTATTAGAACAGTTTGGTGTTTACGTGGACTAGTTACGAAGTGTTATTGAATGTTAAAAGTACAGTTATAAAATCGAAAAAAAAAGAAAACATTAAAAAGTAATTGAAAACCGAGTTTCAGGACGCATTATAGTAAGTTCGCAAAAAGACTATTAATAATAAACGTGTAATCTCTTCAGGTAATATAGTAGAACTTAGAATAACATTGCAGAAAATTATCTGATCCTTATAGGTGAGTTCGTCGGCACGTGGAAACGATTTCTATTGATATAGCTGCTATTAGAGAAATGTCTCTTATAGAAGGATTACGTCAGCAGTGGAACTAGTTCATAGTTTGAATAATATCAGGTTTATCTGGCCGACCATACTGGATGCTTGGCCGGAATTCAGATACTCGAATTGCTTGTAAGAAATCGTGTCACCATAATCGATGCAATCAACTCCCATTTAGTACTTTGACACATCGAAGACATATGATCTACCTGCATTGCCATTTCATATAGTGTGTCAGTGACAGTCAATATACGTGTTGGTGTTTATAGATCGAACATAATTATAAAACAAAAATATTAGTATTCCATTCCTCGTAGCTAAAAAAGCTGAAAGTATATTTTTTACCGTCGGGTTTTTGAACGCGGAATATATGTATTTTGACAAAAACTTACTCGAACTAAAGGAGGAGATGCAGCCTCTAGAAGCTTCTTAATTATTTTTGCTATGCATTTTAAGAGTACCGTTTCCAACTAAGCATCCGTTAACGCTTCGTTAGGTCGTAAGCTATCATAACACGATCACCGTAATTTTCATGTCATGAAATTTTATCAAAGCATATCCTCGGTAGATGAGTTAAAGTTAAAAAAAATGTAATTATAAAGAGAAAGGTCAAAATGAGAGGAATTATTCTGTAAATGTACATATGATAGAAGTATTTTCATGCAAAGTTTGAAATCGCAGCGTTTTTTGTAGGTTATGAAGCTCGTCAAACATAATTTTCTCTTCCCCTTAAACTACCTCGATAATACAATAAATTTTTGTTTAGCAAAGTCGACCTTCGTTTTCGCAAGATCCGAAATTCACATTACGCATTTTTGTGTCGTACAATTTTAGAACATATCAAGTTGTTTTCAGTTCCAAATAAAGAAAATATAAGCCTTTAAGGAAAATATACATATATACATACACACATATTTTCATCAGAGAAAGAAATACTTATATTTTTGTCACATACACAATTAATTTTTCTAAGACAACCGCTAATAAGTATTTTTATCAAATAAACTTGTACTATCAAAGCAATTTAAATATTCAATTTCTTAACCCATAGTGTGCGCTTTACTTCAGTCAGCTGGCCATTTTAAATATTTTATATTTGCATTTGTACGATGCGTTCGGAAATCATCAGCTCAAACCATATAACTTGTAATCGCGATCGGTGTCTATTTTGTGCAATATTACAATTGTATTAAATGTTAACATTAGGTGAATTGTGATTCTAACAATATAGCTAATTATTTTATCGGATAGTTGAATTAATAACGTTTTAAAATATATTATCACATACCAATAAGGAATCAGTGTTTAGATGATAGTTGAAAGTTATAAAGTGTATTTATAGATTGTTACATTGGTAATATTTTATTAGCTTTCTTAACTTTCTTTTTTTTATTTACATTTCTATAAAAATACGTTGTATTAGAATGTTATTGATGATGATGAATGCGATTAATAAGGTAGAAACGGCATTGTTCTATGTAGTAGTAATGTACTGGTGTAACATTCAAGCTTGTTAATGGAAATTATATATTAATCTGTGTTTTTTAATTTCTCTCGAAGAACTTCTGTTTCGGTGATGTTAGAAGTAAAATTGTTTATTATTAGACGTATATTTATATGTTATGAATATTTATAGTGTTGACAATCTTACTGTATTGTATATTATATTTGTGACATTCATTATTCCCAAATAAAGTATTGAGTTAAATGTGCTCTTTATTTAAAACGTGGACGGAAATGAAAGTCGAAAGTAGAAATTTTGTATTTTTTATTGAATAACTTTTCTATTATTTTAAGTATCAATATCACAAACATTACCTTATAATAGGCTGGTATTCAAGTAAAAAAGCCGATAAACTTCTAAAAAAATCGACAATCACATACAAATCGTATACCGTACATTCTTTATAGTTTAATAGAAAAACAAACGTACGCTATTCTTCTCAAACAATGAACCTGATATTTGTCACGACATAAAGGACAGGAAGTATGAAGTGGGCTTTTGAATTTCGTATACAATTGTGTATTCATTGCTGGTCATTTGTGTTAAACACCGAAACGTTTAGAAAGTGGACACTGTTATTTTGTATTGTATAAAAATAAAAATAATCTGCGATTTGTGTACAATAATTGAGACCAATCATATTTCTTATTATTAAACAAAAGAAACGCTCATGTCACCTTGAAAAAAGAATAATTCGCGTTTCATTTCTAATTTGGTTCTGTCAAACTATTCAAGGTGCTTTTGAATTTGGCGCCAAACGTCATAATTTATTTCTATATTTTTATTTATTCAAGCAGCCTTAGGCTTCTCTTCTTCCTTCTTCTCCTCTTCCTCTGGGGGAGGTGTGGGAAGTTCAGGGTACTCCAACTTTACACCATCCTCACAAGTGAAGATCGGACAACAGCCAGGGAAAGGTGCAGTCTTGTTTGTCTTTTCTGCAATCATAAAAGTTTAACAACATCATAGAATGTACGGAACGAAAATCATGTAATCTAATTAAAGACCGATAAATAACATATCAAATAACAAGTTTTATCGTAAGCGGATTTGACTCGAAACTGGACTGACAGCAAAATTGTTTAAGCATATGGGAATTGTTATTTTATTCTGAAATAGATGACTAATATGAAGCAACATAAGTCACCTTAAAGTTCAATTTCGTTATTCGCTACATAAATTGTCACTAATGACAGATATTTTTGGCAGTTATGTATTAGGATCAAATTCCGAACCAAACAATTATAGAGAAGATAATAATAACATAATGTTAACCGTTTATAATCTCAAATACCTGGTAGGGTTGGCATATGGCATTATAAAGGCGATGTGTAAGTTTGCTTATTACTTCTTACTTCACGTCGGCTGAATCGAGTTGAAATAATGTAACAATTTTTTTTTTTAATTACGAGCGCGAAAGCCAGTGCACAGTGTACTGACCAGTGTCAAGTTTGCACTTGGGGTTGGCAAGTGGCAGCGGGCCGCAGTCTTCGACCAGCTCGAGCAGCCTTGGGGGGGTGTCTTCGCTCACGACGCACATGCTGCGACCGCAGAAGGGAGCCAGGTCCCAAGTGTTGCCAGGCTCAACTGTAGCGCAGCGGGTTGACGCGAAGCACAAGCCGGGGAAGTCTGTGAAGGAGGGGTTACTTGTTAATTTGTTGGATAGTAAAAAAAAAAATTAAAAGGGAACGCGGATTAAAAAGTGTACTTTCAAATGAATATGTGATAAAAATTGTTTTGAAAACACTAAATCTCATGTTTAAGCTGTGTAACAAGAAGAAGGTGAAATTATTTGTTCTGGGATTGTCTACTATAGTGTTAGTTTCTACCTTACAAGCTGTAAGAAAGCAACTTTCTAATCCCTCCGATGTTACGTAAATGTCAACCGTTTCTACTTATGAGACAACATTAGTTATGTTTCTGTTTGTTTAATATAAAGTAGGAAATAATTCCAAAGATTTACTATTTCAAATAAATGTCATCCTATAAAATGAATAAAGGTACTTCCATATTTGAAATTTGGCCTATAACACACACAAATAATTATCGCCAAAATGTTATCAATAACAATTCGCATACCCTTAAAGAAAACAACTACATAAATTAGCAACGATACAGTTGTTTAGCATAAAAGAAGTCATAAATCTTTATTCCCTTCAGTTGCTGCGCTAAAGGCAAATACCATTTGAATGTTATTATATTTATGTAATTAAAGAGAGACAAGTACGAACAGTACTTTAATAAATGACAGCGCTTATTATTATAAGTTTGACAAGATTCCAAGAAACGGTAAGCAGACAACCTTGATCCGTTTTCTCACCGAAGCCGAGATAATAAATAAAGATATTAAATAACAATGACGAGTAAATGTATATTGAAACCCAAGAGAACTGTAAATTATTTTACGAAAACAATTTTAAATTTGCTGTATAATAACCATTGCTGATGCTACATCAATTTAATTTCCTTTCAACTTTTACCCTTTACCTTTTCGGCAAAGCGTGATAGAATATGGCTTATGTTCCGTAAGTTTGTTTTATTATTATGATTTACACTGATTCTGCATGACACCCAGCTCTCATTTAACTAATATTATTGGCGTGAAAATTTGTTCCTAACTAAGGCTAAATTGGCTTATCGTATGTCAAAAAAGGTTTTTTTTTTTTTTTTCAAAACAAAATAACTTCGCAGATTTAGCAAGAACATTCCCCACAGCGGCGACAATCTTTTCGTCCTTTTTCTACAAATTTTAATGTTCAATCTTTAGGACTATCAAACAAAAACATAAGGGAATACGAAAACTTTGGCTCGTGTATCGTGCGATAAAATTAAGACTGGTTAAGGAGTGCGAATGCGCGTTGCACATTCGCACCTTTTGAACTTTCAATAAAGCGTATTTGGCTCACGGTCGTCTGGGCTGAACCCACTACGGATCGTTTGCCAGGGCTTAATGCCATATTGTTCTGTGCAGATCGTGACGAAACAATAATGAAAGGAGCACTAAGAATTGGATTACGTCACGAGTTTCATATCGCTCGTACGATGCACAGAGCAGTCCAAGTTTATTAAGTTTGGACAGCCTTTTTCTAAAATGATTAGACGCATTCAAATTCCAGTGCAAATTCAAAATATGTTTATTCAAATAAATTTTATAGAAAAATTTATACATAAGTTCGTGAGTAAGCTAACACCGGCTGAAGACACTGGCAAGAAACTCAACAGTTAGTTGCTCTTTTGTAAAAAGATCACTTTACAGATCACCACTCAACATAGGTAGGTCTTATTTTATTCTACGTGAGTATCAACAGTATTAATTCCACCCATTGGCGTCATCGAGATAGTCCGCGATGTATAATGCTTTAAACACGAGTTTTTCTTTTAATTTGGTGTTCAAATTGATCAAGCAGACGATGAATACACTTTGCCCCATGAACGACTCATTTACTTTTTGTAGACGAAACAATGGTGTAGTTTTTCCTTATATCTAGTGTTTAATTTATGTGTCACTATTCTTTCGGTAATAATTAATGTTATTTCTGCACGCGAAACGCACAATGAGTATACTTATCTCTTTTAAAAGATATCTGAGTGTATGTTACGATGTTATAAATTGCTGGAAAAGCTTTTTTTTTTTTGAAGAATAAATATATAATCTATATCAGATGCACACAACAAGATACTGTGAAAATAACTGAAGTAAACAAGTCTGGCAGTGTGTCTAGCTGCCTAACCTAGGAAGGTAGGGCTTACGGTGGTAGGGCCACGCAGCAGCCTCGGCTGTGGCAGGCTCGTCCGGTTAGGTACTACGATCTCACAGAAAACCGGTAAAGTGGAAGTATAACACTTTCACGTTTCGTCTGGTGAGTGAGGTGGCCGGAGCCCAATTTTCAAAAGGTTGTCAACGCATCTGGAACCCTACGGTGTAGCAAATGTCCATGGGCGGCGGTATTCACTTAACATCAGGTGAACCGTCTGCTCAGTAGACAACTTTTTACATAAAAAAATCGACATAAGGAAATCGAAGGAAGAGCGGAGCTTAACCTATTCGCAAGAGATGATATATGGGGACTCCACTGGAGCTATGAATCTACTGTAATTCTCCAAGAATACAGTGGCTCAACAGGATTAAGGGATACGTTGTTTAATATTAAACTAAAATTCTAATGTAATTCCCAAGAATACAGCGGACTCAACAGGATTAAGGGATACGTTGATTGATTGATTGAAAAATTCTCTATTGTACCAAAAGTTTTTACAAAGAGCGAACTTAATGCTAAACAACATTTTCTTCTAGTTAACCTTTGGTGGTTGAGAGCAAGTTGCGGGTAGTATCGCTAAAGTGACATACACAATTTTTTGATTCACGTTATTTAATATTAAACTAAAACTTTGCCATCTTACGTTGGGTACTTTTTAAGGATTTTGCAACGATAAATGGTAATGGTAACTAAAAACTTAATTAAGTCCGTAAAGTACATACTAAAAGGACAAGATGTTGATACATTTAAGGCAAATAAGGTTTGTCGCAAGTTTAAAGTGAACACTGAATTAAGGAGTGGTGGTGCATGCATTAGTGCCGTGTCGGCATCTAAATTGGCGACACCAGATACATTGCCTAATACGCCGTGATCGAGAATTTTCCATTTTCCTTGGAAGAAATGGATATTTACTAATAAGCAACGGTTAACATCGTACACACTTAAACTAGCTCTACAATTCATAACGAAATGTTGTTAATTTTCTGTTGGTTATAAAACTCTGACACAAAATTCCAAGCATTTAGGATTTGGAAAGTGAAATATATATAAATAGGCGAATTGAATATCCTTAATAGCAGATTATTTCAGATTTTCGTAGAAGAAACGAAATAAATAGTAGCTGGGCTTTGTTTTATTCTTTTTCATTCCATTACATTTGGACCATGCAAATATTATAATCAAACAAAAACAATTTAAACAAAATAAAAACTCACGATCCGAAACACACATTTTTTACTGCAACATATTCATTGACCGTAACAAATATTTACATAATCTGTTGCCTCGATCCAGATTAAATTAACGTTTTATCTTCAATCAGAATTTAAATTAATGCACGTTAAAGTGGAGTAACCAAAATGAAAAACCGTGTGGAATTTCAATTCAATTTTATCATTATTTATAAAATATATTATAATTAGGTCGATATACCTGCGTTGTGCTGTACCCCGTCAAACATATCGCGTTCAACACAACTTTCTTTATATTAGTGAATTTAGAAGTCTAAAAAATTTGCTATTTGTAACTATTTAATTTACTTTTCTTACTATTTGATGAAAATTTTTCCATCGCCGCACATTTACTGTAAGGACCAGTTAGTTAATCTTGCAGACTTGCTTGAACATATGGTATCGTATTTAGCATTCTACTCACGCCCATCGTTCTCATTTAGCGTTACGTTCAGTCTGTAGAAAAGGGGTCGGTTCAATTAAATTTTGACGTCTTAGTAGTTATAAAAGTCCTATTCGGCGACTTGCATACTAACGTCTTTCAACGCAATACTTTTAATGTTAACTTTAGAAAAACAAACTTGACTTTCTATGCCTTTCGTAATCTGAGATTAAATTCTCTGATCATTACATGAACGGTAGCTAATTTTAAAACGTAAGCAGAGACAAATGTTTAGTGAAACGGAATTTGTTCCTTTACGAACTACGACGCATAATATAACCAACATTAATTAGAAAAATTACACGCGCCTTGCTAATTTCACGCGCCACAAAAACTGAACAGTAAGACATCGTAGTGAATTATGAATTGAGTATTATCTTAAAACAATCATTGATCATTACGTTCAACCATTTCAATTATAATTGAGCAAGTCCACATCATTAATCTATCTGTTACGTTTAAACGCAGAACCAATAGTTATTGATCTAATTAGTATGAATAAAAAGCATATTATTTGTGACACGATTCTAGTAACGTTACACAATTGTTGGATAATCGTGTCGGTCGATATGCGGATTACAGTCCATCGTTTTCTACCACGGAAGCACACCGTAAACAAATGAGGTCAGTCAATTAGTTTATACATATCCCCGCTTTCCCACGTGTGGTGTATAACGAAGCGTAATATATCCAATAATTTAAAATAACGCGACTAAAACCCAAGCTTCGAACTAAGATGTTTTTGGAATGCGTCTTCCGGAAAGGAGCAGTCAGACCGCGCAATGACTACTTTCATTTGGCCTTAAAGGCCACCAACCTCTATATACTTCCGTAGGGGATAACTACAGACATTTATTTATTGGCTCTCTTTAATAACAATGGGTCAACGAACAATAAACGGCGAAGAAATCAATTCCCCCTCGATTTCACTTTCATCGATTGTTTCCGCGCAAGCGGTGAATCATACCATCTTGAACGGTCGTTGATTTGCTTTGCGTCAGCCATTTCCTTATTGTCAATAGCATTTTCTCACGATGGATTTGAATGCAAAAATTCTAAAATAAACATACCCACCCCTCAGACTCGCATCGGATTTTGAGCAATGTTCAATATGAAAAACTGAGCAGTCTCATTTAAAAGGTTTCTTGATGAGTAAAGATTGCAACCTGAAGTGGCTTGGGACGCGCGAGTGACATGTTG